ATATAGATGGGGCTATAACCATCAAAAGAACAATCAACTACACTGTGAACAAAAGAGGAATTAAAACCTGTGTTTTCAGAGGGCAAGCTGGTTAACTGAAGCATTGGCCAACAGCTTTCTCCCCAGAATGTCTGGTGTCTATCCATCTCCACCAAATGGAAACTGCTCTAGAGGTACACTATGGTCAGTGTGCATGTAACCACAAACACATGCTGTTTGCTAAAGGAATTCGCTCTTTCTGTTGTCAGAGGATGACATAATTGTGCCCATCTGTTTACCAGACTGTTCTGTCCATATGGGACATGTGCTTCTCTTGCTTTCCAGGTTCACAAAATGATAGCAGAGTTCAAACTGATTCCTGGCCTCAATAACTTGTTTGACAAACTGATCTGGAGAAAGCATTCAGCATCAGCCCTGGTTCTGCATGGACACAACCAGAATTGTGATTGTAGCCCAGTGAGTAAATTCTTAAATGTTCTATTGGACTTTTATCCTATCATTTGCTTCTGGGAAGCTGTATTGAGCAGCTGAGTGCTTGGATAATAAATGAAGATGTGCATTCATATATTTTTGGTGAATTACTTGGTTTTGCTTAAGTCTTTATCTTTGCTTCATGTTGGCAATTTAGCCTCTCCATTCTCTCTTAGTTTGGGAACTGGGAAAGGGGTAAGTTCTGTGGTCCCTGGAGGCCCAAGGTGGAGATGACCGAAATAAAGGACATGATAGCTAGTGGGTCTAGCAAGGAGAGGCACAGAACATAAAATGGATCACAGTCAGATCTTTTTGAGGGGGTGGGAAATTATTAACTGTTACACGCACAGGCTTGGAGGCAGTCTCCACTTCTATTTTGGGAAGCCTGCAAAGTGCAGCCTGCTCCATTTATGCAGGTCACTTGCTCTGCTGCCCAAAGGGGTTTGGTTTGGCTAGGTTTTCAGTTCAGCTGTTTCACATCAGCTTTGGTAGTTAATGATACCCACAAATACTAAATCAGTATCTGTTGACCTTTCTTGTCTCTTTTTAGGACATTACTTTAAAGATCCAGTTCTTGAGGCTTCTTCAGAGCTTTAGTGATCACCATGAGTGAGTATGAAAAGCTGTGGGAGGTTGGGCTTGGTGTGTTTGATTGCAGTTACAGTGGGTGTCCCAAGCACGGTGCAGGTTCCACGTGAATGGAACATTGTACTGTCCTTAAACTTGATTCCATGTTCATGTGCCTTTCAGCTCCTGCTGTGAAGAGGTTAAGGACATGCTCTGCAGTGGGCATGTCTTAATATGTCTGTTGATGATTTAAAATAGCCCATTTTGCTTTGTGTTGCAATGAACTGAAACATTTATATGATGAGTGTGCACTTTCTGGCTGAGGGAATAGGGAGGCAGCTTTCCTGCTGCTCGTTATCTGTCTTCTCCCTGAGAGTTGGTAGTGAGTCAGAGTGCTCACAAGAGCACATGTACCCTGCAAGGACATGTTCAGGTTGGAAGATCAAGGTGAAAGGCAACCTCCGAAGAGGTTAATCAAGACTCCTTTGCCTTTTTAAGAAGCTGGGAAGACATCATTGCTGTTTGAATGCCAGCAGTAGGGAAGACCTGATGAAACTGGATGGGAAAATGTTAAGGGAACAATTATCTGTCAGCTAGCCACTGGGAAGCTAGGTTGGAGATAGGAAGAAAGCTTCTGTTTGCCTTCAAAAGACATACTTCCAAAGGCTGAGTCTGCTGGAATAGTGATCTGTAAATGCTGTGCTGCTGCTACAGAGGTACTTGTTGCTCCATTATGACATGTAGAATCATATCTTGCAGTACAGTGTCCTGTTGCTCTAATTCAGCCCTGCAAGGTGGTTTTCTATTGCTTGCAAACATCTGCCTTTGGGGCATACAGCACTGCTTGCCTAGCTGCTCAGATCTACAGCCAGTGAGACTTTGTGTAGGTTTTATCTAGTACTGGATGGAAATATCAGCCTTTTTAATTATGCAGTATTAGCTTTGAGACTGGGGAGCTGCTGGAAATACTGTGAGCAGAAGGGTAAAGCTGACTTACTGTAAATCCTCCATGTAAGACATTGTTTGCCCAGGAATCACTCCAGGTTTTCCAATAAAATCTCTTTAGATGACATTCCCACTTAAGTGACCACTACAAAGATCTCAGGCTTGTTTAAACAGAGCTTTCAGCCGTAATGTTTGAGCAAGTGGAATGTGTGGAATCTGGTTAAGGGTCTTAAATAAAGAGTTACATGAACTCATAGATATGCTGAGTTAGCTGAGGACAAGGTGAGAGCAAGTACTTCTATGCTAATATTCAGTAAGACTGTGTATAAACCCAAACTTGTAGGACTGTTTGTTGCCTGGGGGGAGAGGCTGTATTTTCATTACAGAAACCTGTTGATCCAGATCAAAAGAAGCTCCATGGGACAGCCTCAGTGGGCGCTTACCTGGAAGCCAGTGTTTGAAGCAAGAAGGCATCCCCATCACCTTTCTGGTCTAACGATTTATCTTCTGGGCAGTTGCTATGTATGATGAATAGGTTCTCTTTGCACACCCTAACACCTGTCCTGCATCCTGTGTTCCCATAGGGTTCCTGAAAATACAGCTTTGCAGTTGATTCTGAGCACTTTGAAGTTGGAGGGCTCTAAGGGAGCACACTGGCATTAGGCAGGGAGTCCCTCAAAGGGAGCCTGTGGATTACATTTCTACTTTGTCAGCCTTGTTCTGCATTTAATTTACTTTCCAGATAAACTAATTGATTTTCATTAGGAAAAATTTAGTATTTGATAATGAATTCCATGCAAATGCCTGGGGTTTGTATCCATTCCTGTTCTATTTTCTACATTTCATGAATTTTTTTAATCTTTCCAGAGTAAACAGTTTGCTCAGAGTAGTAAAATACCAGAATGATTGAGGACTTTTCTTGCACTTTGTGCTTCCTAACTGGGATTTACTACTGATGAAGAGCATGCTCACCGTAAGGCAGAGAAAAACTGTAGGAAGCTGTGGAAAAAGTTGATTTAAGTTTTCTGAAATTCAGCAAAATGTTGCTGAGATTTTAAAAACCAAACCATAAGATCTTGAAGAGGAAAGAACCACCATGTCCAAGGTGGTCAGTGTTGAAACTGGCATTTGGTGGTTTGGGAGGAGGCTCACAACACAGCAGGTAGCTGGCCTGCCTTGGGAGTCTGCTGTGATGAGCAGAGCAGAGGCAGAGAGGTGGAAGCTGCTTGCCTGGTCCTGCAGCCCTCATGGGTGTGTGGCTTTGCTCTTTATAGGATTACACATTTGCTTCTTGAATTCATTGTATTTTTCCCTCCTACTCCCCAAATGTCTTGCTGTAGGAACAAGTATCTGCTTTTAAACAGCCAAGAACTCAACGAGCTGAGTGCCATCTCCCATAAAGCCAACATCCCTGAAGTTGATGCAGTTGTCAACACAGACAGGTGAGTATGGAGAAAGGGTTTAGGGCAGCAGCTTCTAGAGTTTTGCAAGCACTTACACTGGAGGTTTGATGTCACCTGGTTTATTTGAGGTCCTTCTGTCCAAGACGCTTGCTTTAGTTGCAGTGTTTCAAAAAAAGCTGGGTTTGTATGATAATCATGGTCATTAGTGAAGCTAAAATGTGCTTGTGCTCAGAGTAAGGCTCTTTATAAAACAAAAGCAACCTAAAAGAGGGAGTTTGAGTTCATGGCCCAGACTTCATCATGATGTGCTTTCCAAAGGTCTGTTTGTCTGGCACTTCTCACTACGGGCACTACAGACAGACCTGGAGAGTAAACTGGGATCCCCCTAATGCATGAATTGCTGCTACTAATAAATCTTAGTTGGACATTCAGGAGCAGTCTGTGCACGCACAGTGTCCATTTCCAGTCTGCACAAACAGATCTGTGTGTCTGCTGAGAGCCTTTATTTTAAGAGCAGCTAATAACTAGAATAAGCTAAATTAGATTAACATGTTAAACCACTTACTGAATCTCTAGTGTTAGGTTTGAATACCTGTTAGATTGACTATTTTGATTTAATAAGCTCTTTAACACACGATTCTGATTTACAAACCTCCCAAGGTGAAACATTTGCAGGCTTTAGTTGTCAGAATACTTCCAGAGTGCCAGCAGAGCCCTGGGCTCCCAGAGCAGATCTACCTCACTTCTAAAGGGAATTCTTTGAGAGGATTTCTAGATGAGAATTATTATAATACTGTGCCTAATTGGGAAGAAATGGTGTCTGTATTACTCAGATCCTTCCTTTCGAAACACAGGTACCCTTCTGGCTTTGTTCAAAAAGGAGTGAGTATTTAGGAGGAAGAATTCACCCAGTTAGGAGCACACTAAAGGAGGTGGATCAAGGGTGTAAACAGTTTTTCCAGCCTGCAAAGTTTCTCATCTCTCAAGTGTTAGTGAGAACAGACTATCGCACTGCAAGAAAACCACTTCCCACAAGGGCTTTGTCAGATGGCTCTTGACTGCCCAGCAAGGGTGCTGATACAGTACATGGCAGTTAACCTGGGTGCACC